GGAGAGCCAGAGGGGCAGTCCCCACCAGTCTTCTGTCTGCAGCCCCATGTTCTTTCCACTGCACTGCCCCCCAAAAGAAGGTACTGATTTCAGCCTACTGGTGGAAGGTTGGGCTTTTTTTTTTTTAATCCTCACCCAAGGACATTGATATTTTGTTCAGACAGAGTGGGAGGGAGGGAGGGAGGGAGGGAGGGAGGGAAAGAGAGAGAGAGAGAGAGAGAGAGAAACATTGACGTGAAAGGGACACATCGAGTGGCTGCCACCCGCACGACCCAACTAGGGCCGGGGACAAACTGCAACCAAGGTACGTGTCCTTAGCAGAAACGGAACCTGGGTCTCTCCAGACCACAGGCCAACGCTCTAACCGCTGAGCCTAACCACCGGCTAGGGCAGGTTGGGCTTTTATTTATTTCATCAGGATGACAAATGACAGGTCTGTGCATAATGTCTTTTTAAAAACCAGACTCTCATCTGAGATTTACATAATGCCATTAACCAATGTTACCCCAGGAAATTTAATTTAAAATTAATAATTAGCTCTGGCTGGTATGGCTCAGTTGGTGGAGTGTCGTCCAGTGCACCAAAGGGTGGCAGGTTCGATTCCCTGTTGGGGCATGTACCTGGGTTTCTGGTTTAATCCCCATGTGGGAGGCAGCCAACCCATGTGGGAAGCAGCCAATCCATGTTTCTCACATCGATGTTTCTCTTTCTCTCCCTACTCTCTAAAATCAAAATAAAATATCCTTTGAAAAATTAATAATTAAACATAAAAGAAAAAAACACCTGAAATTTATATAATGTTTTAAACCAATGTTTTAATTTAAAGGTAATTATAAAAACCTTAGCTTCTAATAGGTAATAGATTTTTGGATAGTTTTAGCCACGTCCATGTGTGCACCAGCCTGCTTACCCACCATGCTCCCTGGGTGCCTCCCGCACAGATTTGCAGATTCAGTTATGCATACTGTCTCTCAGGCCCTGGGGGATGCTTGGGCAGGATACCTGGCTGAGGTGAGCCTGAGGTGCCACTGCCAAAGGGTGATGGTGGATGTGGTCACAAGGAGTCGGCCCAGAGAAACACCAGGACACCTGGTGAGGAGCCCTTTAAAGATATGTGAGCCAACACCCTGTGTTGAAAGAGGAGCCTCCTGCCACAGGACAGCCAAGCCCATGAATTTAACAGGTTTCACTGGGTACCTCCAAGGAGCAAATTGCCCTGAGGGGAGACAGGTCCCTGGAAAACTTGGTCCCTGCCTTAGAGGGTTTCACAGTTCAGTAGGGGAGCATTCCCAAACCCCCATCATCCTAGGCAATTAAGAGTGGTCATGTTTTGGGTCTGGAAGGAGGTGTTGAGGGGATTGGGGCTCTAAAGGCTGGCAAGAGCAGTGGTTAGCGCCGGCTTCGCAGTCCCAGTCTCGGTGTGAATTCATCTGCTGCCCCTGGGCTGCCTCACCCTTCTCTGCCCCCATTTTCTCATGGGTTTTTCTGAGTGTTAAAGAAACGAAAGTGCATCAGTGCCTGGCAGGATGACTGGTGCATCGTAAGTAAATGGAAGCTCATTTTGTTCAAAAAGTGGGTTGTAGGCTCAGGAGGCCAATGGCCTGGGTTCGAACCCCAGCTCTGCCTCTTGTAAATGTGTAATTCCAGGCATGTTCCTTAACATTGCTGGGCTTCGATTTTCTTATCTGTGAATCAGAGATAATAATAGTGCCCTTCTCAGGGTTGCTGTGTGGATTGAGACTTTTGGTACAATGCTTAACACTTACAAATGTGAGCTCACGGCGGAACCCTTTGTCTCTGAGAGTGCGAACACCGGATGGCCAGGCCGCTGTGGGGCACGGTCCCCTCCTCCTTTTGGTCCAGCCCTACAGATGCAGGTTTAAGGACAGCATTTAAACTGTCAGAAGAGCATTTTTTCTTTGGTTTCTTTTGAGTAATATTAATCAAGGTTTAGTTAGCGAATTATATTTTTCCTTGTTGGACTCATGTTTTAGAATGTTAGACCCTTCCCCGGTCAGTGTGGCTCAGTGGTTGAGTGTTGACCCTGCACCAGGAGCTCGCCGGTTTCATTCCCAGTCAGGGCACATGCCCAGGCTGTGAGCCTGATCCCCAGTGGGGGGCGTGCAGGAGGCAGCCCATCGATGTTCTCTCTCATCGATGTTTCTATCTCTCTATCCCTCTCCCTCTAAAATCAATAAATAAATGAAAAAAAAAAAAGAATATTAGACTCAGAAGGACCCTTCGAGGCCTCCAGCCCAGCTCTGTCCTTTCCGTGGGGAAAAGGAGGCTCGCAGAGGTTGAAACTTGGCCAAGGAGGCTTTGACTGAAGGCACCTGGTCGATTGTCATCTGCCAGGTGCCCTGATGTCCCCGTCTTTCCACTGCTCACCCAAGCTCAGGTTTATATGTGGTGTGCGGCTTCGTCACGGCTTCAGTGTGCACCCCTAGTAGAAGCCCCCGAGTGTCTGTGGAAGTCAAGTTGGAGGCCTGTCCTGTAACGGGCTGCTGCGAGTGTGGGTGGAACAGTGTGGTCCACTAGAACTTTCTGCAGTGTCCAACAGGGTAGCTGTTAGCCATTTGGAACCACTGAGTGCTTGGAATGTGGCCAGACACAAGAAACTGAATTCTTTTCTTTTTTTATAAAGATAGAGTGGGAGAGAGGGGAGAGAGAGAAACATTCACAGAGAGACACAGCAGTTGATGGCCTCCCGCACACGCCCAGACTAGGGTAGGGGATCAAATCTGCAACCCAGGTATGTGCCCTTGACCTGGAATCAGACCTGAGACCCTTCGGTCCTTGGGCCCACGCTCTAACCGCTGAGCCAAACCAGCCAGGGCAAGAAGCTGAATTCTGAACTGTTCATTTGAATTTAAGTGTAGCTAGCTGCCTGTATCTGACCAGACAGTGCAGCACGTAGAAGAATTTAAAAACCAGAATTCCGGGGAGGTCTCGGGGGCAAAGGTCTGCTAAGAGCTCGCTGGGGACTGCAGCCAGCTTTCAAACAAGGGCGCTGATGGAGGTGGGCCTCGACTGGGCCCGGGGCAGGCAACCTGGAACCTTTTTAAAAAAATATTTTTTTTTATCCTCAGTCGAGGACATTTTTGCATTTATCTTGAGATAGATTGGGAGGAAGGGAGGGAGGAAGAGAGAGAGAGAAACATCGATGTGAGAGAGACACATCGAGCAGCCGCCACCCACATGATCGCAACCGGGGACCAACCACAACCGAGGGACGTGCCCTTAGCGGGAACCGAACCCCGGCCTCTCTGGTCCGCGGGCCGTCGCTCTAACCGCTCAGCCAAAGCAGCCAGGGCTGGAACCCTTCATCTGTAGGTAGGTGCGCGAGGTCTGCAGGGTTATCTTCTGCTTGATGTGCTTTTAGGTGCTGACTGACGAGGGCAGGTCCCAACGTGAGGGACAGCTGCACCAGGAATGCCTAGAAAAGTGCCCAGCATCCAGCAGATGTGCCAGTATTAGTGGAGTGGACCTGAATTTTAGTATGTTATGGCGTTGGAATGTTTTCCCCTTGGGGCTCTGTCTTTGGGTTTACAGTGGAATTAATGAAAACAGAACCTGATTTACAGAAACCACATTCAGAGCTGGTATTCTGGAACATTCCATAAAACAATGCACAGGGCTGGCTCCCTTCCTGCTGGGATGGGGGGGCCCTGGGTGAGGCTTGGTCTCTGCAGCCCGGAGAGTCTGTGGTTGGAAGGCTGTGTTCACCCACTGTCTAGTCCGTCTGTAAGTGGGCCAGGAGCCTGGCGTCTCCCTCGGCTTGGCACTGCAACTGACCAGCTCCCTGGTTTCAATCAGTTGCTTTCTCCTGGGGGCGGGCTTCTCAGGTGGGGCAAGCCAGGGCCACCACACTGCATACCTGCTGTCCTCTCAGCTCACTCTGTCGCTCTCAGCAGTGTCCTGGGGGTCACTCTGCTCTGGACCCTCGGACTCACCTCTGAATACCCGGGGAAGCTTGTTACAAAGGCAGATTTTTGCATGCATGTTACACCTCAGTGGGAAAACAACAAAATGCAGATTTCAAAACATTTACGAGGTATTTGGGGAAACTGGATAGTTAAGGATATTGAGGGGTTTGCATTCTATTTTAGGTGAGATCATTGTTTTTGGTTCTGTTTATAAAAGGCGTCTTGAGGAGGGAATGCTGAGATATTTATGGATACCAAGCTGTGATGTCAGAGGTTTCCTTCAAACCCCTGTGGCGTGAGGGAGAGGAACCAGAGTTGACCGTTTTGGAGCGGTTTGGTGGGCCCTGGGGAGTCATTTTCTTTTTTCTTTACTCATGTAACCCTTTGATGTTTTCCACAATTAAAAAATAAAAAGAAAACAGGCTCGTTGAACACTAGAGTCTGAAGTGGGACTGTGGGTGTGTCTCGTCCCCTCAGCCTCCCCACTGTCCCCCGGACCCCAGTGCGAGTGGCTGCCGCCCAGCGCTGCCGCCGCCTGATGCTGGAGGCCCTTCAGCACAGGTCTGGCTGCTCCTACCTGCCAGGGCCTGGCCGTCCCCGTTGTCAGCCTGTCAGACACCAGTGTTCTGCTGCATCTGCCCTTGTGGTTCTTACGTTGTCAAGATCCCTCAGTGATAAGCGTCAGGAAACGTATTATCCACAGGAAATGACACAGCACGCGGCCGTCAGTGATGTCCAGGGGGAGGGAGCGAGCAGTCTGGTGAGCTTGAGCCAGTGCCCAGGGCTCTGCTTTGTGTTTACTGTGGTTGAGGGTGACGTAAGAGCGGGAACTTGAAGTACAGGAAGAGAAAAAAAGGGGGGGGCTCAGATGGTCAGTGTTTGAAATCAACCAAGATCTCCGAAATCAAGGAGCCTGCGGCTGGCGAGGACACCTGGCCCGGCCGGCAGCCCCGGCCGGCTGTGAAGTGGCCGCCTCCTGGGAGTGGGCGCTTGGGCGCTTAAAGCCACAGCCAGGCACTCCGTGGCCAGAAATGAAGACACCGTTCACCTCGTCTGGCCGATAGGTGCGTCTGGCGTGCTCAGCGCAGAGGCTGCCTGGGCCTGGCTTGGGCCTGGCGTTGGAAATTTTGGGGCATGTTGCTCAAAGCGCCCCTCCTGCCCCGATTTCCTCCTCTCCCACTGACTACCGTGGCCCTGCCTGCTCTCTCTGATTTGCTGATGAGAGACTTGGGCTGTGTGACTTCAGGCTGAGTCATGAATTCCTTCTCGCATCGCTGGGCTGAGGAGCATCCTGTGAGGGGGCCGGGCCAGAGGGCTGCACGGCCCTTGACTTGGCACTGCTGGGGCCAGGCTCGGCCTGCAGGGAGGGCCAGGTGGGCACTGAAGCGGGGCTGCTCAGCTCCTGCTTTGAACCCGGGACATCCTGGCCTTTCCCAGCGGGATGAAGCTGTTGGCCGGGGCTCTGCACCTGCAAGGGCTCGTGGGTGCCCGGGCATCTGTCTGGAAGGCTTCTGGGCTCAGGAGCTCTGCAGGGCTGTGGCCACGGTGCTGGGCTTCCGTCGGGGCTTCTGGAAGCGAATTTGGACCCTCTGTCTCTGGAAGGTAGGGTGAGGGGGCCACTGAAAGTTATCCAACCTGAGGAGGGGTGTGGGAACCCCTAATTTTTTTTTTTTTTTTTTATCCTCACCCGAGGACATTTTTTGTTCAGGTGGAGTGGGAGGGAGAGAGAGGAAGAGAGAGAGAGAGAGAAACATCGACGTGAAAGGGACACATCGAGTGGCTGCCACCCACACGACCAACCAGGGCCAGGGACAAACTGCAACCGACGTACATGCCCTTAGTGGGAACTGAACCCGGGCCTCTCTGGACTGCAGGCCGACACTCTAACCGCTGAGCCAAACCAGCCAGGGTGGAATCCCTACTTTTTATAGCTGCTTCATCAGAAGTACTTTGGGACTTGTGACCGGTGTCCAAGGTGGGGGTAGTCTTTGGGACTGAGCCCTTCCATGTGGAGTCTGTGCTAACTCTGGGCTCCTCTAGGTCAGAACAGCATTGAATTGTGGGGTGCCCAGCCAGTGGGGGAGGCTTAGACACTTGGTTGGTGTGAGGGAAAAAAAAATTAGGATAAACAGCTCACCCAGAAATGGAATTGCTGGGTCCTGTAGTAATTCTGTGTTGATGTAAGACATTTCCACAACTGTAGAGGATTTTTATGAGTTTATTTGAGCCAAACTGAAGGCATGTTGAGGAGTAAGATCTCAGATGCTCTTGAGAATGGCAGTTTTACAGTTTCTTTCATGCATTTATTTATTTTTACCCTCAGCTGAGGATATTTTTACATTTATCTTCAGATAGAGGGGGAGGGAGAGAGGGAGGAAGAGAGAGAGAGAAACATTGATATGAGAGAGACAAACATCGATGTGAGAGAGACACATTGATTAGTTGCCAACCGCACGACCACAACCAGGGCTGGAGATGAACCGCAACCGAGGTTTGTGCCCTTGGCTGGGAATCGAACCCGGGACTCTGGTCGTTGGGCCAACACTCTAACCACCAAGCAAACCAGCAAGGGCTCTTTCATGCATTTAAAATTAAGGAGAGAACATAAAGAAGGTTGCATGGAAGTGGGGTAACAAGGCAGGGTTGGATTACAGGGTCCTTAACATAATCAAGTGCTCTCTTGAGGGTTAATATCCCTTTCAAAGGGTGTTGCTCCTGGCGTTTCAAAGGGGTGTCAGCCTAGATGCACAGGAACAGTGGCCAGGGCAGGCTTCCCACCGTCAGAGAAGTTACAGGCCTGGGCTGACTGCTCGTCCCCCTGGCCTGCCCAGTCAGGAGTTGATGATCCCATTGCCCTGGGAGGTCACTTTCCACAGAACCCTGTTTTCCCATGACATCTGTGTTTAACCTTTCGGGGAGCTGCCGGCTGTTTTCCTAAGTGGCTACTCTGTTCCATGTTCCCACCAGCAGCCCGAGAGCATCCCGCTTTCTTCACACTCTCGCCAACACTTGTTATCTGTCGTTTTCATTCTTGCCATCCCCGTGGGTGGGAAGTCAATCTCATTGTGGTTTTGGTTTGAATGTCCCTGATGACTGATGATATTGGGCATCGTTCTGTGAGTTTATGGGTCATTTGTACATCTTTGGAAAAATGCCTGTTGAGACCCTTTGCCTCTTTTTCACTCGGCTTATTTGTCCTTTTACATTTGGGCTGTCAGAGCTCCTTCTGTGCAGTATACTAGATGCAAGTTTCTTCTCAGGTGTATGATTTGCCAAGATTTTCTCCCATTCAGCGGGTGGTCACTTCTTTATTTTATTTAATTTTTTTGTTAATCCTCAGCTGAGGATGTTTTTCTATTTTTTTTAGAGTGGAAGTGAGAGAGAGGGAGAGAGAAACATGGATGTGAGAGAGACACATCGATAGGCTGCCCCCCACACAGCCCCAACCAGAGCCGGGGACCGAACTGCAGCTCAGGTACATGCCTTTGACTGGAATCGAACCCTTGCCTCTTTGGTCTGCAGGCCGACACTCTAACCCCTGAGCAGAACTGACCAGGGCATCTTTTCCCTTTTTAAAAAAAATTGAGGTATAATTGATATATAGCATTATATTAGTTTTAGGTGTACAGCGTAATAATTCAGTATTTGTGTATATTGCAAAATGATCACCACAAAAAGCCTACTTAATATCTGTCATCACTCATAGTTACAATTGTTTTTCCTTGTGATGAGAACTTAAAACTTTTTTTTGTTTACTGACTTTTAGAGAGGAAGGGAGAGGAAGAGAGAGATGGAAACGTTGCTGAGAGAGAACATTGATTGGCCGCCTCCTGCATGCCCCCCACTGGGGATCGGGCTCACAACCTGGGCATGTGCCCTGACCGGGAATCGAACTAGCGACCTCTTGGTGCAGGGTCGGCGCTCAGCCACTGAGCCACATCGACCGGATGCTTCTTAGTTTTTAGTTAGTTTGTCTGTCTAAGATCCCACATGTAATGCGATCATAGGTTGTCTCTTTGTTAATGGAGTGGAGAGGGCCTCATCTCTCCCGGTTGCCAGCGGCGGGTAGGTTTCTTTCGATTTCCTGAGAAAAGGACTTTTCTGAGATTCGCATGGGAGAATGTGATACAGTGGGAAACTTTATTTCCCTGAGTTAAATCCCTGAGTTTCCCGAGTCCCATTCCCCTTCGCCCAGCCATAGAAGAGTAGCCGGGTCAGCAGAAGTAAGATCAGAGCCAGTGCCCAGAGCGTCCACGTTGCCGCCGAGTCCAGTCCAGCGTCAGGCGAGGGTAGCTTGTTTCCCGCTGTGGTCCATCAGTCCATTGCGTGTAGGGTCCACATGGCCAGGGGCCATACGGGCAAATGCAAGGAAGTGGGAACAACAGCTCCATAAATCAAGAGTCGCCAAGAGCCAAGAGCACAGAGAGAGAGCTCCTTTGTTCCGATTATGGTATTCCCAGATTTTCTTCTGCTTGCAGTAGCCCCGCCCATTCTGGCCAATGATTTCTTTCCCCAGGTGTGACTGACAGGCAGGGAACTTCCCTATGTCATCCCAACTTCACTGGGCATGTGTCTGTCTTCCCTTTGTTGGACCCCTTCCCCCAGTGTTTTGCAGGGAATAGGCCGGGGATTCTGGGGGGAGTGCAAATTGACATGCCTGTAATGTCTGGCTCCCGCTTCGCTCCTTTCCTATCGTTAAAGACGAGCTAATTACAACGGTATTGTTTTCTGATTTATCTCAGCATAATACCCTCAAGTTTCATCCATGTTGTAGCAAATGGCAAGATGTCGTTCTTCTTTTATGGCTGAATAACATTCCACTGTATATATGTACACATCTTCCCATCCATGAGTCCACAGATGGACACCTAGGTCGTTCCTGCGTCTTTGCTGTTGTGGATATCACCGCAGTGAACATGGGGGTCGTATATCTTTTTGAGTTGGTGCTTTTTCTTCAGATAAATGCTCAGAAGTGGGGCCCTGGCCGGGTGGCTCAGTTAGTTGGAGCCTAGTCCCTACACCGAAAGGTTGTGCGTTTGATCCCCTGTCAGGGCATGTGTGGGAGGCAACCGGTCAGTTTCTCTTTCACATCCATGTTTTTTTTCTCTCTCTTCCTTCCTCCCTTCCACTCGATCTAAAAAAAAAAAAAAAATCAATGGAAAAATATCCTTGCCTGGCTGGTGTGGCTCAGTGGTTGAGTGTTAACCCATGTCCAAGAGGTCGCTGATTCGATTCCTGGTCAGGGCACATGCCCAGGTTGTGGGCCAAATCCCCAGTGGGAGGCATGCAGAAGGCGGCCAATCAGAGTTCTCTCTCATCGATGTTTCTATCCCTCTCTCCTTCCCTCTTCTCTCTCTCAAATCAATAAAGAACAAAAAAATTAAAAAAAAAAATCCTCGGGTGAGGATTAAAAAAACAAACAAAACACAAAAACTTAAAAAATATAATAAAAGGAAATGTTAAAGAAAAACCCTCTAGGGTGTGATATGTCTCCCAAACTCGGCCTGAGGCAGGATGCTTCTCTGAGTCACAGATGCCTAGAGGAGAGAACCCAGATGCCACCAATGCCAGGCTCCTGCCACAAGCCCACCGCCAGGTCTGGGACAAGGCCCTACAGTGACTACCCCATAGAACTTGTCTGGCGGGGCCTGGAAGGGCATCTGGTTTGTGTGTGCTTTGCTGTCCCCCAAGGAAAGTGGGTATGGGGGGTTTCTGGTCCCTCCACCTCTGTCCTGGCTTGTCCTGGCACAGCCTGGCTGCGGGCAGGGAGCACACTGGAGATACACCTGCTGAAAGAGGCTTCACATTCCAGCCTCCTCCTGAGCCAACTAGGTATTCCGTTACCTGTGGGCACTGAGCAGGTGGAAACTCGAGCCTTGTAACTGATCAGGATGGGCCAGGGTGTGTGGCCCTTGTGTTTGGTCAATGGCACCCTTTTTCTTTGTGTTGCTGTGCTGTGTGGGTGCTGTGTTCGCTCCGGTGTGGTCCTTCTGGAACTCAGCTCTCACGGCTGAATTGCTGTCTGGGCCTTGGTGCCTGGCTTCTCAGGAAACGCGATCTGGCTCGATCGTTGTTCTGTGCGTCCTTTCAGGGCCGGCCCCGCCTTGCCCTGTGCCTTGTGCAAACCAGGCTCTGGAGGTGGTGACACTCCCCAGCCAGCCTGGAGGTGCCTACTTGACCCATATTCTTATTTCAGCCACACCCAGTGATAATTTCTTTTTTTTCTTGAGAGGGTGGGACTTTTATCGATGATCATTTTTTAAATTTGATTTTTTTTAAAAAGATTTTTTTTTCTTTATTGATTTTAGAGAGAGGAAGGGAGAGGGAGAGAGAGACAGAGACATCAATGAGAGAGAACATTGATTGGTCGCCTCCTGCATGCCCCCCACTGGGGATTGGGCCCACAACCTGGGCATGTGCCCTGACTGGGAATCGAACCAGCGACCTCTTGGTGTGTGGGTTGATGCTCAGCCACTGAGCCACACCAGCTGGGCTTAAATTTGATTTTGCTTTAGTTGCTTTCATGTATCTATTACATTTTTACACTTATTTTGATAAAATTAATGGACTACAGAATACAATAGAAGTAATTAAGAGGATGT